CTCACTCACTCACCCCACTTGCAGTAGCGCTCTCCATTTCCATCCACCTCACATTTGCCACCCGGCTCACAGCCCAACGCCGCACAGGCAGGATCTGCAGCAGCAACACAGAGGAGAGAGGGGTGCATGAGCGAACGAAAGGGGAACTGCTTTGGAATGGATCTAGGCAAGCAGAGAAGAGAGAAATGCAGCACGTGGAACACGCGTGATTGCAGGCCAACAGGGGAAGTTGCAAATGTGTACAAAGAATTGCCACTCTCCAGGCGAGAGACCATTGCAGCAACTCACTCACCGATGCAACGCAGCTTGTTCGGAGGCATCTCAAAGCCCGCGTCGCACTCGCAGGTGGGATCCCCGTTTTCCTACCTCACGCACTTTCCATTGGTAGCGCAATCCACTGCAGTACAGTGTGCTTCGTGTTGCACTCCACAAGCTCACCAATGCAATAGAGCGTGTCATTTGACTGCTTAAAGCCCGTGTTGCAAGTGCAAAATGGCTTTCCGTTCGCATCCTTTGTGCAGCTGCCGCCAGGCCCACAATTGACCGCATCACACAAGTCTGCAAAGAAAAGGGGACCAGGCAAGTGGAAGGATGTCATCACATCAGGATTGGGAGACTTTTGAGTCGACTCAAAAGTCACCTTGTCATCACATCAGGATTGGGAGACTTTTGAGTCGACTCAAAAGTCACCTTGTCATCACATCAGGATTGGGAGACTTTTGAGTCGACTCAAAAGTCACCTTGTCATCACATCAGGATTGGGAGACTTTTGAGTCTGACTCAAAAGTCACCTTGTCATCACATCAGGATTGGGAGACTTTTGAGTCTGACTCAAAAGTCACCTTGTCATCACATCAGGATTGGGAGACTTTTGAGTCGACTCAAAAGTCACCTTGTCATCGCATCAGGATTGGGAGACTTTTGAGTCTGACTCAAAAGTCACCTTGTCATCACATCAGGATTGGGAGACTTTTGAGTCGACTCAAAAGTCACCTTGTCATCACATCAGGATTGGGAGACTTTTGAGTCGACTCAAAAGTCACCTTGTCATCACATCAGGATTGGGAGACTTTTGAGTTGACTCAAAAGTCACCTTGTCATCACATCAGGATTGGGAGACTTTTGAGTCGACTCAAAAGTCACCTTGTCATCACATCAGGATTGGGAGACTTTTGAGTCGACTCAAAAGTCACCTTGTCATCACATCAGGATTGGGAGACTTTTGAGTCGACTCAAAAGTCACCTTGTCATCACATCAGGATTGGGAGACTTTTGAGTCTGACTCAAAAGTCACCTTGTCATCACATCAGGATTGGGAGACTTTCGAGTCTGACTCAAAAGTCACCTTGTCATCACATCAGGATTGGGAGACTTTTGAGTCGACTCAAAAGTCACCTTGTCATCACATCAGGATTGGGAGACTTTTGAGTCTGACTCAAAAGTCACCTTGTCATCACATCAGGATTGGGAGGCTTTTGAGTCGACTCAAAAGTCACCTTGTCATCACATCAGGATTGGGAGACTTTTGAGTCGACTCAAAAGTCACCTTGTCATCACATCAGGATTGGGAGACTTTTGAGTCGACTCAAAAGTCACCTTGTCATCACATCAGGATTGGGAGACTTTTGAGTCGACTCAAAAGTCACCTTGTCATCACATCAGGATTGGGAGACTTTTGAGTCGACTCAAAAGTCACCTTGTCATCACATCAGGATTGGGAGACTTTTGAGTCGACTCAAAAGTCACCTTGTCATCACATCAGGATTGGGAGACTTTTGAGTCGACTCAAAAGTCACCTTGTCATCACATCAGGATTGGGAGACTTTTGAGTCGACTCAAAAATCACCTTGTCATCACATCAGGATTGGGAGACTTTTGAGTCGACTCAAAAGTCACCTTGTCATCACATCAGGATTGGGAGACTTTTGAGTCGACTCAAAAGTCACCTTGTCATCACATCAGGATTGGGAGACTTTTGAGTCGACTCAAAAGTCACCTTGTCATCACATCAGGATTGGGAGACTTTTGAGTCTGACTCAAAAGTCACCTTGTCATCACATCAGGATTGGGAGACTTTCGAGTCTGACTCAAAAGTCACCTTGTCATCACATCAGGATTGGGAGACTTTTGAGTCGACTCAAAAGTCACCTTGTCATCACATCAGGATTGGGAGACTTTTGAGTCTGACTCAAAAGTCACCTTGTCATCACATCAGGATTGGGAGGCTTTTGAGTCGACTCAAAAGTCACCTTGTCATCACATCAGGATTGGGAGACTTTTGAGTCGACTCAAAAGTCACCTTGTCATCACATCAGGATTGGGAGACTTTTGAGTCGACTCAAAAGTCACCTTGTCATCACATCAGGATTGGGAGACTTTTGAGTCGACTCAAAAGTCACCTTGTCATCACATCAGGATTGGGAGACTTTTGAGTCGACTCAAAAGTCACCTTGTCATCACATCAGGATTGGGAGACTTTTGAGTCGACTCAAAAGTCACCTTGTCATCACATCAGGATTGGGAGACTTTTGAGTCGACTCAAAAGTCACCTTGTCATCACATCAGGATTGGGAGACTTTTGAGTCGACTCAAAAGTCACCTTGTCATCACATCAGGATTGGGAGACTTTTGAGTCGACTCAAAAGTCACCTTGTCATCACATCAGGATTGGGAGACTTTTGAGTCGACTCAAAAGTCACCTTGTCATCACATCAGGATTGGGAGACTTTTGAGTCGACTCAAAAGTCACCTTGTCATCACATCAGGATTGGGAGACTTTTGAGTTGACTCAAAAGTCACCTTGTCATCACATCAGGATTGGGACATGACAATCAGGGGTCACAGAATTGAATATGCGCGCAATCCAGTAACTCTTGCAAGAGAGTTGAAGGGAGGTCGAGTTCCAAGGACGGGGTATGGAAAGCAAGGCATGCCTTCTGTGTAGCACCCCTCCGACTCACCAATGCAAGACAGCGTGTCATTCGAGGGCTTAAAGCCCGTATCGCAACTGCAGAACGGCCTTCCGTTCGCATCCTTCGTGCAGTTGCCGCCAGGCCCACAATTCACCGCATCACACAAGTCTGCAAAGAAAAGGGGCCCAGGCAAGTGGAAGGATAGTATCATGTTAGGAGATGATAAAAACGGGAGCTGAGCACTGAAGGGCTGCCAAGTCGAATATGCACGCAAGTCAGTAACTACTACACAAGAGTTGAGGGGGCCAAGTGAAACGGTTGGGGTTGATAAGCAAAACGACTGTTTTTGAAAATTCTCGAATTCTCGTGCTGCAACTCTAAGCATGTTGCAGCACAACGCTTAGAGTTGAAGTGAATTGTGCTCTGCGTTGTAGTTCTCCCACTCACCAACGCAAGAGAGAGAGTCGTTCGATGGCTTAAAGCCCGTATCGCAACTGCAGAACGGCCTTCCGTTCGCATCCTTCGTGCAGTTGCCGCCAGGCCCACAATTCACCGCATCACACAAGTCTGCAAGGACAAGGATACGGGGGAAGATACCCAGGCAAGCGGAAGAATAATATGATATTGAGGAACTAGGATATTGGGAGACTACGAAATTGGGACACTACGATATTGGGAGACTACAATATTGGGAGACTACGATATTGGGAGACTACGATATTGGGAGACTACAATATTGCGAGACTACGATATTGGGAGACTACGATATTGGGAGACTACAATATTGGGAGACTACGATATTGGGAGACTACGATATTGGGAGACTACAATATTGGGAGACTACGATATTGGGAGACTACGATATTGGGAGACTACAATATTGGGAGACTACGATATTGGGAGACTACGATATTGGGAGACTACAATATTGGGAGACTACGATATTGGGAGACTACGATATTGGGAGACTACGATATTGGGAGACTACAATATTGGGAGACTACGATATTGGGAGACTACGATACGATATTGGGAGACTACGATATGATATTGGGACTACGATTTTGTGTCGACAGTCAAGGGCGTTCTGGATGCAGGATGTTCAGTAGCTCTTACAGGAAAATTGAGAGAGGAGGCCAAGCTTCAATGACTGGGTTTGAAACACAAGCAAGGCGCTCGCTCTGTGCTGCTCCCCTCTCCTACTCACCAACGCAAGAGAGAGAGTCGTTCGATGGCTTAAAGCCCGTATCGCAACTGCAGAATGGCCTTCCGTTCGCATCCTTCGTGCAGTTGCCGCCAGGCCCACAATTCACCGCATCACACAAGTTTGCAAGGACAAGGGAGTTGAGGGGTTAGAGCAAGTTTCAAGGACCGGGTTTGACACACATCCGTTGTGGCAATGTTACCACAGTGGCAATGTTACCACAGTGGCAATGTCTGCAAGGACAAGGGAGTTGGACTCTCCGTTTTGATCCACCGCACATATGCCACCAGGCTCACAGCCCAACACTGCACGGGCAGGATCATCTGCAGCAGAGGACTTTTGAGGCGCCTCAAAAGTCGGCTCACAGCCCAACGCCGCACAGGCAGGGTCTGCAGCAGAGGCGAAGAGAAGAAAGGGCCAACTGACAAAGACATGGGAAGGAGAGTGTATGCATGACAGAGGCAAGAGGGCGGAGCGGTGGGCTGAGACACGCCACAAGAGTGAGGAGGACGCTTCAGAATCCCGCCCACTGAACACATCGGTGCTGCCGGTGGTGCTGTCGCCACTGGGGGTGCTGCCGGTGCCGCTGCCAATGGTACTGCCGGCGGTGTTGGTGCTGGCAGTGGTGCTGCCAGGGGTGGTGCTGCCGGCTGTGGTGGTCCTTGACGCAATAAAAGCGAGAAACAGATACTCGAGAGGTGCCTGAGTCGTCATCAACGCATGAGAGAACATGCTTTATCTGGCCTAGGCCTCAGTTGTGGCTCAGAATGGAAACAAACACACTCAATAGGAGCCACACCAGGACGCACCAGTGTTGCAGAGAACAGACGCCACTGTAGCCACTGAAGCTCACTGTTGAGGCGCCTCAACAATAGACTTTTGAGTCAACTCACGGGGTCAGCACAGGACGCACCAGTGTTGCAGAGAACAGAGGCCACTGAAGCCACTGAAGCCCACTTGCTGATCTTCTTCTCACTGCTTGGGACCCTGAAGGGCGAGGCAAAGTGGGCACACAATAACACACAACATATCACAACGTGCTCAGGAAATAAGTATTGCCTCCCCTCCCCAGAAAAGCGAAAGAGTTTGAAGCACAAAATATCACAACGTGCCACGTTATCCCCTCCCCTCACGTCCTCTCCCTTCCCCTCCTCTCCCCTCCCCTTCCTCTCCCTCCCTCCCATCCCCTCACCCCCATCCCCTCCCCTCCTCTCCCCTCCCCTCCCCTCCCCTCCCCTCCCCTCCCCTCCTCTCCCCACCCCAACTCACGGGGACGCATCGCCAGCAGTGCTCGGGCCGATCAGATCATGCTATCCACCTGCTTGCCCCGGCAGCCACTCTCCCCAAAGAACTTGATCTGCGCGCAGCAGCAGAGCCCACCCACCACTCCCATTGCCCACGTGTCACTCACTTGGCTGCAGCAGTAGTCCCCGGGTTGACCATGCTGTCCACCTCCTTGCCCTGGCAGCCACTTCCCCCAAAGAACTGGATCTGCTCGCACGCAACACCCGGAACGCCCCGCGCCTTGCTGCCCGGACCACCGTAGCTCGAATGCCCACCGTAGCCTCCGTAGCCCGAGCCCCCGTTGCTGGAGCCTGCACGGCCTTGCCACCAGACCTTCACGTTCCGCTGCCTCGCAGCCTTCTTGGGCACGCTCACGCAGCGCTGCTTGCTGAAGGTCAGCCGCAGCCCTCCCACCGCCACCTCCGTCGCCACCTGCATGCTGGGAGCTTCGCTGGTGGTGCCCTTACTGGGAGCTTCACTGGCGCTGCCCGTGCTGGTGCTAGGGCTTCCCTTGCTGGGACTGCCCTTGTCGGGACTACCCTCGTTGGTGTTGCCCTTGTCGGGGCTTTTTGGCACTGTGCCATCGCCGTACATGGCAGAAAGCAAGTTCCGGTGTGCCATGCGTTTCACCGTGTCGTCGCCATGCGCTGCCTTCATCATCTGAACTGCTGCAGCGGACAAGGGAGAGGGTGTGCAGAGAAGAGAAGAGAGCAGAAAGAGCAAATATGAGAGAAGGGATAAGAGAGAACAGAGAGACCAAACATGAGACAGCGGATATGAGAGAGCAGATATGAGAGAGCAGATGTGAGAGAGTAGATATGAGAGAGCAGAGAGAGCACAGAGAGCAGAGAGAACCGATATGAGAGGACGGAAGGAGAAGGCACGGATCTGAGCGCAACGAGAGAGCAGCAGTTCAAGGCAAGGCAAGAGCAGCAGTACAGCAGAAGATGACCGGAAGGAAGGAGCAGTGAAAAGGCATGGATCTGAGCGGTCGCACATCACGGCAGGGCTGAACACTAGTCAACGATTTTGCAGAGACGAGAGGAAAGAAGAAAGAAGAGGAGACTTTACCACAGATTAGGGCAAAGGCAAGCAGAAGAATTCCGGCAGGAGAGGCGCGCATCGACCCCATGATGATGATGACGGCGGGGATCCCGCGGGAGAGGCGCAGCAGACGACGGTAAAGTGCGGATTGTAGGTGTGCTTTCAATTCAACTTAGCGTGGTCCTCTGCTACTCGGAGGTGGGTGGAATTAATAGTACTCCAATGCACTGAAAGGAGAATGGTCCGAAAAATGGCATGCTTCCTTCGGGCTTTGCCTGCACTTTGATTTATGTCGCGAGTTGCAGACGTGAGCCAAGCGTAACAACCGCCGCGCCATGGCGAATGCTGGGAACGCGTTCTCGGTTGGGAGGAGTTCCCGAAATAAAAGGTAGCTTGAATCGGATTCGCGGGAATGATGTGCTTAGCTCGCGTGAGTCGCGGGGACGAGATCATCTGAATTCAGGAGCGCGATACGAGCGACGAATTGCTGGAAAGGGAACGCGATGGAGTGTCGTCCGTGAGCCAATGGCGATACGCAGAGGCTTCCAGCAAGGCCTTTTCCGTTCGTGGCTTTTAATTGGTGACGATATGGCAAAGCGAGAATCGTTTGGAAAAAGCAGTGCATTATTTTGGCGAGCATTATGCAACTAAACAGGTTCGTAGTTCAATAGCTCAAGGAACGCGTTCCAAGGAAGCTGGAGAAACTAGCCATGTAGGCTGGCGTGAGTTGCGGGGAACGAAGATTTGAATGATAGGAACTTAGAGCAAGGCTCACGAAGACGAGATTGGAGCGACGAGTTGCCGGAGAAGGACGAGAGGAGATTTGTTCGCGAGCCAATAAGGTGACGGACTAGCTTCCAGCAAAGCGTTTTTCGTTTGTGCCCTCCAATCAGGTTCAAGCAGAAGGGTCGACACGACACAAGCACTCAAGTACTGTAGTACTGTACAAGCAGATTCATGGCGAAACATACCTACCCAACCACACCACACCACATAGGAATGGACGAACAAGACACACCACCCATTCTTTTCTTCGATATAGACAGAACCTATGTGAATTCCATTTACTTATTTTCTTCCATTAGTGTAGCATTCACAAACTACAATATGTTGGAACCACAAAAACATTTCAAAGCATGACCAATTAATTACATTATGTGCATCAACATTGACCTACAGGCTTCGAAACCTAGAGGAAACTAGCGTGCCTCCCCAGTTTGTTACCAATTGGCATGAGGTACCATGCGGAAGGGCGACTTGAGCATAGCAAATGGAGGTGTGGCACGGGCTTGACCAGGCCTGGCATTCAGAAAACTTTTGAAACCCCAGGAAACCTAGTTGCAAAAATGGCGAGTGTGGGTCTTGCAATCAGCAGTATTCTGAACACATCACAATGTGCGGCGGTTACATGGCAAAATCATACTGCTGAAACTACTTGCAAAACAACTCAAACAAAATTTCCAAGCAAACCTGCTGCAATGGTACATAACCCTAAGGCAGGTGCACTGGTAGGAAGGAAAGGACGCAACCAAATGGGTTCTAAGCTGAGTCTCTGTGGAAGGAGAAATCCATTCCAAGTTAGACTAGGTGCAAATGGCACTCTCTTGAGTGAAGGCAGCCCACTAGACAACACACTTGACAGAACGCGGGAGGTTAGGGCTGCCAGGCCTGGTGAATGGCACAAACAAGGGGATCCCAAATAGGAAACGATGACTCATAAGTGCTGCCTTTGACGGTTGGAGCACTGTAGCAGCAAGGGAAGCGGAAAGGTAGTGCAGTCCTGTTGCTGCTGATGAGAATAAACCAGCCAATCATTTGCCTAGAAGTGCCTACATGAAATGATGGAAGATAGTGCAGGCTTGATGCTGATGGAGAAAGATCGAGCAATCACTTACGAGGCAACATTGAACTCGACTAGAAGTCACCTCATCATACTGATGGCACCAGACCAGTCAGTCACTTACAAAGACCAGTCAATCACTTACTGGTAAGTAGTAACACCTGCAACGAGGGGTGGATTTGGCCCTAAACCGCCACTCAACGATATGCCATCACAGTTGTCCGCCACATAATTGTCGTATAGCCGGCAACTCGGAGTGTTACTGATGTTGAAAACACGATACATTGCAGTGTACTTGCCAGCCACAGTAGCGGGAAACTGCGTGCAGCCAGTCAGGTTGTAGCGGAAGGTGTAGGGCCGGGAGGTAGAGTCCTTGGCTGCTGGATTTGCGATGAGTGTGACGCTGTCGACATCGATTGTGAAGTTTCCTCCTGCGAACGAATGGCACAAGGAAAGACTTGCATACAATATTTGTTTGCATATCTATCCTTGGTAATATCTTAGCCATACTGCATCATTCCACCCACATTGCCTCTGCTTAGAGCCTCAATGGTCAACCTTGTAGGCACACTGCTTTGTAAAAATGTTTCCTGTCAAATTATATGTATGTCATATATGTGTAGGCTGCAGTGGGGTAGCCAACATGGGGTACAACCCCATTAGGGTTTCACATTTGTACCCAACTCTTTCATAGTTCATCCATTCCTGCTACTACATTTTAACATGGTTTCAGAGCACTAGGTCCGTAGGACCGTCTTTTTTTTCCGGGCCCACCTACCGCTGCGGTTACCGCGCTACCCCACGTGTTGTCCTGCGCTAGCCTTCACTTGCCTTGCCTTGTGACGTGCTGCGCTTCGCGCGCCGTTCTGCAGCCCTCGCGCTGCCTACTGTTGCCCTAGCTACGCGCGCACCGGCCTACAGACCCGTAAGGCCACCGAGCCGCCCCTGCAGGCCCGTAAGGCCCGCGAGCCGCCCCTGCAGGCCCGTAAGGCCCGCGAGCCGCCCCTGCAGGTCCGTCAGACCCGTGAGCCGCCCCTGCAGGCCCGTCAGGCCCGCGCCCCGCCCCTGCAGACCCGTCAGGCCCGCGAGCCGCCCCGGCAGGTCCGTCAGACCCGCGAACCGCCCCTGCAGGCCCGTCAGGCCAGAGTGCGGCCCCGCCCCGCAGCCGATGCGGCCCCGCCCTGCCGCGGACGCGGCCCCGCCATGCCGTCGACGTGGCCCCGCCCTCCCACTGTCGCGGCCCTGCCCTGATGCCGACGCGGCCCCGCCAGGTCGCGGCCCCGCCGACGCGGCCCCGCCCTGCCGTCGTGTCGCGGCCCGCCCTGCCGCTGACGCGGCCCCGCCCTGCCGTCGACGCAGCCCCGCCCTCCCACTGTCGCGGCCCCGCCCTGACGCCGACGCGGCCCCGCCAGGTCGCGGCCCCGCCCTGCCGCCGTGTCGCGGCCCGCCCTGCCGCTGGCGCGGCCCCGCCCTGCCGCCGACGCGGCCACGCCCTTCCGCCGACGCAGCCACGCCCTGCTGCCGACGCGGCCTCGCCTGGCCCCGCCCTGCCGCCGCCACGGCCTCGCCCTGCCGCCGACGCGGCCCCGCCTGGACCCGCCCTGCCGCCGACACGGGCCCGCCCTGCCGCCGACGCGACCCCGCCCAGCCGCCGACGCGGCCCCGCCAGGCCCCGCCCTGCCGCCGACATGGCCCCGCCCTGCTGCCGACACGGCCCCGCCCTGCAGCAGCTGCCGCGGCCCTGCCCTGTCGCTGTCGTGGCCCCAGCCCTGCAACTGACGCGGCCCTACTGTGCAGCCGCTGTTGCGGCCCCGCTGTCGCCGCCGTCGTGCGCCTGCCCTTCCCGCCACTGGTGAGCACCTGCCCTACCCGCGCTTCCCGCGTGTCTGCCTTGTTAGCGCGCTGCAGCGCCATCTGCCTGCCTGCCTGCCTGCCTCGCCTGCCCTGCCCACGCTGCTACTGCTGCTACTGCTGCTACTTCTATTACTGCTGCTAGGCTCCTGCTGCTGCTGCTGCTACTACTGCTACTGCTGCTACTGGCGGTGGCCAGATGCAGCTCCAGCGACGTCCGTGCGAGTCTCTCACGCCCCAGCAGCTTCGTGAGTGGTACGCTAGTTGGGGTTGTGGCGGTAGCCGTCGTAGCTGTCGCCCTGGAGCTGGTCAGCTGGGAGCGTCTGGCAGTGGCCAGCTGCAGCTGCAGCGGCGCCCGCGCGAGACACTTCGCGAGTGGTACGCCCAGAGTAGAGGGTCTCGGAGTACCGTTCGCTACCCGTACGTCATTCGCACAGGTGATCGGGCTGGTCAGGCTTGCGGGACGCTTAGTCACATACAGTTCCGCTGCTTCGCCAGTCTGAGCGACGCCTGGCGTACCGAGTTTGGCGACGAGGCTGAGCTCCCCACCTGGCTGGAGCTGCTTAGGCAGAGGGTAGATATCTTTGCTCTTGACTATGATGCTATTCTCACTGCCATGTATGCATCCCCAACTAGTGCTGACAGTGCCTGTTACCTGTGCGTACCGCCTGACCCAGGTATAGAGTCCGCTGCTCTAGGTGCTGGTGAGGTTGCTGCTCTGGGTGCTCGTGCGTCTCCTGCTCTAGGTGCTGGTGCGGCTGCTGCTCTAGGTGCTAGTGCGTCTCCTGCTCTAGGTGCTGGTGAGGGTGCTGCTCCAGGTGCTGGTGCGTCTGCTCTCTCTGGTACTGCGCCTGCTGAGTCCTTGTACACCTTCACAATTGACTCAGGTGCTTCCCGCTCCTTCTTTCGCTACAGCACCACCCTCACGCCGCTCAGTCGGCCGGTTCCAGTCTCCCTGGCAGACCCCTCTGGGGGTCCAGTCCTTGCGCACTCCTCCACGGTCCTGCCATGTCCGGAGGTCCTGTCTGGCTCCCTGTAAGGTCTTCACCTCCCCTCGTTCTCTACGAACTTGGTGAGTGGTGCTGACCTCCAGGACCAGTGGGTTGACCAGTTCACTCCTGGAGGTCAGCGCGTGACCCACTGTACGTGCTCCCGGACGGGCCGGCACCTGGCCACGTTTACCCGTGCGCCTGGCTCGAGTCTGTACACACTGACTACTGTGTCCCCTCAGGTCGCTGCGTCTGCGTCTGCGTCAAGTCAGCTAGCGCCCCCCTGCTCGTGTCGCGCTTTGTCGCACCAGACCCCCCTTTGGCACCACCGTCTTGGTCACCCCTCGGTGCAGCGCCTTCGTAGCATGCACCGCCGTGTCCTTGTCTCTGGTCTTCCCAGGGTTCTCTCTCCCCTCCCATCCTCGCCTGCTCCTCCTTGTCTTTCCTGTGTCGAGGGGCGGCAGCGCACCGCTCCTCACTCCTCCTCGTTTCCCCCGACGACCGCTCCCCTGCAGACCCTGCACAAGGACGTGTGGGGCCCAGCCCGCGTCAGTGGGCAGGACCGCGAGCGGTACTTCCTGCTGGTTGTTGACGTCTACTCGCGTTACACCACGGTCTTCCCCTTGCGCACCAAGGGTGAGGTCCCTGATGTTTTGATCCCTTGGATCCGCGCTGCCCGTCTCCAGCTCCGCGAGCGGTTCGGGACGGAGTTTCCCGTCCTGCGTCTGCACTCTAACAGGGGTGGGGAGTTTTCCTCCGACCTTCTGAAGAGCTTTTGTCGTGGGGAGGGCATTCTCCGTACGTTCACGCTTCCGGCCTCTCCGCAGCAGAATGGGGTTGCTGAGCGCCGCATTGGCTTGGTCATGGAGGTCGCTCTTACCTCCATGGTCCATGCGGCTGCCCCCCATTTTCTGTGGCCGTTTGCGGTCCGCTACGCCGCGCATCAGCGCAACCTCTAGCCCCGTGTCTCCTTGCCGGAGACCTCGCCCACACTGCGGTGGACGGGGAAGGTTCGCGATGCGTCGGTGTTCCGGGTCTGGGGTTCTCGTGCCTTTGTCCGCGATACCACCGCGGACAAGCTCTCCGCCCGCGCTGTTCCCTGTGTCTTCCTTGGCTTTGTCCCTGACGCGCCTGGTTGGCAGTTTTACCACCCCACCTCGCGCCGTGTCTTCCTCTCTCAGGACGTCACGTTCGACGAGTCGATTCCCTTTTACCGTCTCTTCCCCTACCGCACTGCCCCTCTCCCCCCCCCCCCCCCGCCGCTCTTCCTCGCTCCAGATGCTCCACAGGTAGACCCCCTCCCCGCTCCCGGTCCTGCTCCTTCAGGTGTGTCTCAGGTAGACCCTCCTCCCTTGACTACGCTGGTTGAGGTCACTGGTGACTCAGGTCCTGCTGAGGGTGGTCCTGCTCGTGGTACTGCTTCTGGGGGTGCGGAGCCTGGGGGTGCTGAGCCTGGGCATGAGGAGTCTGGGGGTGCTGAGCCTGGGGGTACTGAGTCTGGGGGTGCTGAGGCGTCTGGTGAGCAGTCTCCCTGGAGCGGCCGTCTCCGTAGTCGCTCCGCTGGTGCCTCGCCGCTGCACTTTCGCCGTCGTCGTCTCCCTCTCTCCCCACAGCAGCTGCGTGAGTGGTACGTTAGCCGTCAGGGTCGCGCTGCTGGAGCTAGGGGCCCTGCTGCGGGAGGCGCTGGAGCTGGTGACTCTGCTACTGGAGTTGTTTCTACTGGAGGTTCTGGAACTGCTGCGGGTGCTGGCGCTGGAGGTTCTGGAGCTACTGTAGGTGCTGGTGCTGGAGGTTCTAGAGCTGTTGGAGGTGCTGGCGCTGGCAGCGCTGGAGGTGGAAGTTCTGGAGCTGCTGCGGGTGCTGGCGCTGGAGGTGCGACGCCTGAGGGTTCTGAGTCTGCTGTTGCGCGATCTCCTTGGAGTAGCCGCCTTCGTCCGCGTGTGCCTCTCACCTTACAACAGCTGCACGACTGGTACGGTCGCCGCCAGGGTCGCGCTTCTGGAGCTCGGGGCTCTGCCGCTGGAGGTACTGGAGCTGCTGGGGCTGGAGGTGCTGAGCCTGAGGGTGCTACTGCTGGAGACCCTAGGTCTGGGGGTGCTGCTGCTGGAGACACTGAGGCTGGAGACCCTGGGACTGGAGGTGCCGGTTCTAGGGGTGCTGCTCCTGGTGGAGCTGGTCCTGGAGGAGCTGGCGCTGAGGCTTCTGGAGCTGCTGGGGGTGCTGGAGCTTCTGAGGGTACTGGAGCTGCTGGTGCTGGTGGCACTGCATAGCCGCGCCTGTTCTTCGCTCCACCGTCTCCGTCGTCTCAGCCACCGCCTGACTCTGTGCTTCGCCAGGTTCTTAGTCTCCCTTCGTCTACTGGTCTTCCGTTACATCCTGGCTAACCGCTGCCTGCTCCTTCTCCTTACACTGAGCAGACAGGGGGTCTTACTGAGCGTCGTGAGCCTGCGTCGCGTCCTATCTCGCCTGTCCATTCTGGTAGTTCCGGTCGTCGTGTTCCTCGTCCGCGTCAGCCGGCTGTCCCCGGCACCCACCACGTAGTCCGTCGTCCTTCCTCTCCTCCACAGCGCGTTCCTCTGCCGTCTCCTCGCGCGTCTTCCCTGCCTACCGTTCCAGAGCCTGAGTCTGACCTCGCTCGTGCTGCTCACCCTACTGTCACGCATCTGCTAGCCACTGTTGTCACTGACCCGTCGTTTGAGTCTGCTGCTGCGTCTGCCTTAGTCGCTGAGCTTGTTGACTTTGCTGCTGCCTGTCGTCTAGACTACGCCGCTAGTCTTGTTGCTGCGTCAGAGTCTGTCTGTCCTCCGTCCGTCGGGGGTGAGTGTGCTCTTGGCACGGACGTCCTTGAGGACAGGCACGAGGACCTTGAGTGTCTTGCAGCCGCTGCGCCTCATCTCGTGTCCATGCTGCTTGCCCCTGAGGGAGACCCGGATGCACCAGACATCCCGACTCCGCGTTCTTACGCTGAGGCGATCGCGGGTCCCTACTCCTCTCAGTGGCAGACAGCCATTGACGCAGAGATGGCATCCTGGAAGTCCACAGGCACTTACGTCGACGAGGTTCCCCCTCCTGGGGCGAACATCGTCGATGGCATGTGGATTTTCAGGGTGAAGTGGCCGCCAGGTTCTCCGCCTGTCTTCAAGGCTCGTTACGTTGCTCGAGGCTTCAGTCAGCGGGAGGGAGTCGACTTCTTCCAGACCTTCTCCCCTACCCCGAAGATGACCACTCTTCGGGTGCTGCTGCACGTTGCCGCTCAGCGTGACTACGAGCTTCACTCTCTTGACTTCAGCACAGCCTTCTTACAGGGCAGCCTGCACGAGGAGATCTGGCTGCGCCGCCCACCTGGCTTCACTGGGTCGTTCCCTCCTGGTACCCAGTGGAGCCTCCGGCGGCCAGTCTATGGTCTCCGCCAGGCGCCGCGTGAGTGGCACGACACACTGAGAACGACACTTGCGGCTCTTGGGTTTGCTCCGTCGAATACTGACCCGTCGCTGTTTCTGCGCACCGACACTTCGCTGCCGCCGTTCTACATCCTCGTGTACGTCGACGACTTGGTCTTTGCCACTGCTGATACTGAGGCTCTCGCATTGGTGAAGTCGGAGCTGCAGAAGAGACACACGTGCAGAGACTTGGGTGAGCTGCGCAGCTACCTTGGCTTGCAGATCACCCGGGACAGAGCACGCCGCACCATCACACTGACTCAGTCACACATGGTGCAGCAGGTCCTTCAGCGCTTCGGCTTCACCTGGTCCTCGACACAGGCCACTCCTCTGGCTACAGGTCACTCGATCTCAGCTCCACCTTTGGACGAGTCCGTAGAGCCGAGTGGTCCTTACCCAGCGCTAGTGGGCTGCCTCATGTACCTGATGACCTGCACTCGTCCTGACCTTGCGTACCCTCTTGTCCTTCTGGCTCGCCACGTGGCTCCTGTCGGCACCGAAAGGTGCACATGGATGCTGCTAAGAGGGTACTACGCTACTTGTGCAGTACATCGGGCATGGGGCTCGTGCTTGGAGGACGGAGCGACATTGTCCTCACTGGGCACTCAGACGCTTCTTGGGTTGACGACCAGGCTACGCAGCGGTCGTCACAGGGTTACACATTCAGCCTTGGCTCTGGTTCAGTTTCTTGGCCTTCTACACGCTCGTCTTCAGTTCTCAACTCTAGTTGTGAGGCTCAGATCTGCGCCACAGCCATGGCTGCACAGGAGTTATGCTGGCTTACCTACCTGCATGCTTACTCTTGGTAGGTAGAGATCACTGTGCTGTTGTTGTTGCATATATACCTCTGCATGTGAACTGGCCTTGTGGCTCTTTACTTGTGCTCAGTGTGTGTGGTGACATTGTGATCCACCCTGAGCTTGCTTTGCTTCTCTTGACTGGTCTGGTGACCCCTTGCTCTCCCCCACTTTGCCTATGGGGGTGTGTCAAACTATATGTATGTCATATATGTGTAGGCTGTAGTGGGGTAGCGAACATGGGGTACAACCCCGTTAGGGTTTCACATTTGTACCCAACTCTTTCATAGTTCATCCATTCCTGCTACTACATTTTAACATTTCTGTGAATTGAGAGTCATATAGAAACACTGCACACCTGGGAAGACTCGGCACTAGCCAAGTCTAGCCCCACTTGGCATTCATCTAGTTGGCGGAGCGAGGAAGGGAGAAACAAGGGGGATGGAGAGCGGGGAAAGGAGAGAGTGGGGCGAGGTGGGAACAACAGAGGGTGGTGAGCGGCGAGAGGAGGGAGTGAGGCGAGTGGGGAGAGGAGAGAATGGGGCGAGCGGGGACTTGCTGTGGTTCGAAACCTTTTCTACCCTGCGAGAGAATGGAGACTCACCCTCAACACATTCGGTGGGGGTCATCCCAAAGCCCTCGGGGCACTCGCAGTAAGGCACCTGCGCGAGAACTGGGCCCCGCAGCATGGGGTCACTGTCCTCCGTCTCTAGTACGGTCTTGCAGGTGGCTCCAGTGGGGCAGGTGCCGCAGAGAGAGGCTGGAGAACACATCATGCAAGGGAGAAAGAAGGGATGGGGCACTCGCAGTAAGGCACCTGCACGAGAGCTTGTCCCCTCAGCATGGGGTCACTTTTTTCTGTCTCAAGCGCAGTCTTGCAGGTGGCTCCCATGTAGCAGGCGCCACAGGGTGAGGCTGAGGGGGTGGGGATGGGTGCAGTGCGGTATGTGAGTGCAATTTCTCGTGGGGGACTGAGGCTCTATTAAGGCAGGCGCCACGAGGTGAGTCTGGAGAACACAGGGTGCGAGGGAGAATGAAGAAGGGCTGGAGAATAAAGAAGGGCGGAACGGATAGAGCACGCCCAGTAAGGCACCTGCAGCTCACTGATTGTGTCCCAGCATGGCCTTGTAGGTGGCTCCGGTGAGGCAGGCGCCACAGGGTGAGTCTGAGGGGTAAGGATGGGTGCAGTGCGGTATGTGAGTGCAATTGCTTGTGGGGGATTGAGGCTCCAGAGGGACGGGCGCCACAGGGCGAGACTCGGGGGTGGGTGGGTGGGCATGGGTGCAGTGTGGTATGATCTCTTAGGAACATTGAAACGCAGTGTGGCACCTGTACCGACGGATAGAAAATATAAGGCAGAGGGAGACGCAAGGGGGGAGAGGGAGAAGCAAGTGAAGAGGGACAGTGAACTATCATGTGTGAGGGGTGGGCATGGGTGCATTGCGGTGCAATATGTGAGTGGCAATTGCTGGTGGGGGATTATGGATCCAGAGGAACAAGAGGGGAAGAGGTAGGCTCAAAGAAGCACAAGACACATGATGCGCTCTCACTCTTGCATGGCACAGGATGGAATTGATGGAGGTTTGACTTTTGAGAATTCTCAAAAGTCAAACCAGGATAGGATGCACTCTCACTCTAGCATTGCACAGGATGCACTCTCACTCTAGCATTGCATAGGATGCACTCTCACTCTTGCAATGCACAGGATGCACTCTCACTCTTGCAATGCACAGGATGCACTCTCACTCTTGCAATGCACAGGATGCACTCTCACTCTTGCAATGCACAGGATGCACTCTCACTCTTGCAATGCACAAATGCACTCTCACTCTTGCAATGCACAGGATGCACTCTCACTCTTGCAATGCACAGGATGCACTTTCATTCTTGCAATGCACATTATGCACTCTCACTCTAGCAATGCACAGGATGCACTCTCACTCTTGCATTGCACATGATGCACTCTCACTCTTGCAATGCACAGGATGCACTCTCACTCTTGCAATGCACAGGATGCACTCTCACTCTTGCAATGCACAGGATGCACTCTCACTCTTGCAATGCACAGGATGCACTCTCACTCTTGCAATGCACAAATGCACTCTCACTCTTGCAATGCACAGGATGCACTCTCACTCTTGCAATGCACAGGATGCACTTTCACTCTTGCAATGCACATGATGCACTCTCACTCTAGCAATGCACAGGATGCACTCTCACTCTTGCATTGCACAGGATGCACTCTCACTCGTCCAATGCACAGGATGCACTCTCACTCTTGCAATGCACAGGATGCACTCTCACTCTTGCATTGCACAGGATGGAACTGATGGAGGTTTAACTTTTGAGAATTCTCAAAAGTCAAACCAGCACAGGATGCACTCTCACTCTAGCATTGCACAGGATGCACTCTCACTCTAGCATTGCACAGGATGCACTCTCACTCTTGCAATGCACAGGATGCACTCTCACTCTTGCAATGCACAAATGCACTCTCACTCTTGCAATGCACAGGATGCACTCTCACTCTTGCAATGCACAGGATGCACTCTTACTCTTGCAATGCACAGGATGCACTCTCACTCTTGCAATGCACAGGATGCACTCTCACTCTTGCAATGCACAGGATGCACTCTCACTCTAGCAATGCACAGGATGCACTCTCACTCTTGCATTGCACAGGATGCACTCTCACTCTTGCAATGCACAGGATGCACTCTCACTCTTGCAATGCACAGGATGCACTCTCACTCTTGCAATGCACAGGATGCACTCTCACTCTTGCAATGCACAGGATGCACTCTCACTCTTGCAATGAACAGGATGCACTCTCACTCTTGCAATGCACAGGATGCACTCTTACTCTTGCATTGCGCAGGATGCACTCTCACTCTTGCATTGCACAGGATGCACTCTCACTCTTGCAATGCACAGGATGCACTCTCACTCTTGCAATGCACATGATGCACTCTCACTCTTGCAATGCACAGGATGCAACTAATAAAAACGTGTTTGAAGAAGTTTTTGAGACGTCTCAAAACACTCTTAAAAAAGATGATGCACTCTCACTCTAGCAATGCAGAAGATGCAACTGATGGGTACTTGAAATCTACATGAGACGACTTTTGAGGCACCTTGAATCACCGACACGTCTTGACATAGCAATGCATGTGATGAGGTAAGAGCAAGAAAAAACTCGCCCCACTGGCAGCAACACCATGCTCACTCACCCCACTTGCAGTAGCGCCCTCCAGTCTGATCCACCTCACAGGTACCGTCTAGCTCACAGCCCAACGACGCACAGGCAGGATCTGCAGCAACCGAGGCGCACAGAAAAGGGGTAACAAACATAGATATGGGTATGCCACCTCACAGGTGCCATCCGGCCTACAGCGCAACGCCACATGGGCAGGATCTTCTGTAGCACAGAGGAGAGAGGGTCGCATGAGAGACTCAAGGAGGAGCCAATCACGAGAAGAAAAAACGCGCCTAAAGTTGTCATAAAGACATTAGTATGCCCTCAGGACATGATTCATAATTTAGGGCAAGATTATGTGGATGGCGTGTCAATACATTGCAAATATGTAGGAAAAAAAAAAAAAAAACAAACAAACAAAGAAACAAAAAGACTTGCTATGTGAGGAAAGCATCGCTTCGAATCAAGCAGCATCAGAACCACACCCGTCACACACCCAAAAGAATGTTGTTAACCCGAATGGCATCACGCGATTCACAGATTACGCCCTTCGGAAACACGTCCTCAAAATCACGTTTTTCAGAATCACGCCTTCCCTTTTGTACGTTCCTCACCTGTGGTTACTGGTGGTGTTGTTTGGTCCCCATACGCATTCGCTGGTGGTGCTGTTTGGTCGCCATACACAGAACTCAGCATGCGTCGACGTGTTATGCGCTTCATCGTATCGTCGCCATGCGCTGCCGCCATCATCTGAACTGCTGCAAGGAGGACAATGGAGTGGGTGTGCAGACGAGAACAGAGAGCAGACATGAGAGAGCAGAGATGAGAGAGCAGAGAGGGAAGAGAAGAGAGGATCGAGCTGAAAACAAAGAAGAAGTGGAAAACTGAAGCCACCTAGAAGGAGGGAGCAGGGAGGCATGGTGCTTACTGGCACAAGGCAAGCACTTACCATATGTCAAAGCTCTTTGCAGTAATGAGAGAAAGCAATGAGAGAAGGCAATGAGAGAAGGCAATGAGAGAAGGCAATGAGAGGCGGTGAGCGGACTGACCGCAGATGAGGGCAATGGCGAGCAGCAGGATGCCGGCAGGAGAGGCGCGCATCGCCCTCATGGTGCTGATGTGGTGGGGGTCTTGCGGGAGACGCGGCGGAAGAGGCGGAGAGAGAGGCGGCGGGAGAGGCGAGAGGAGAGGCGAGCGATGAGGAGCTTCAAGCGGCTTTGTGCTGTCAGTCACGTGCAAGTCACGGCGGTGTAGGGCGGCAAGTGGTTTTTGAGACGTCTCAGAAACAACTTACATCTAAAAAATTCTGTTGGTTTCACATACGACATTCATACGGGATGTAATGTATTCGGTATAGTTCTGGTAGTACAATTTAGAGATACTAAATAGTAAAAAGCCGCGTATGCAGTACATCGGGCATGGGGCTTGTGCTTGGAGGGCAGAGTCCAGTGGTCCTCACTGGTCACGCAGACGCTTCTTGGGCTGACGACTTGGCTACGCAGCGGTCGTCACAGGGTTACACCTTCAGCCTTGGTTCCGGCTCTGTTTCGTGGCGGTCTACCCGCTCGTCTTCTGTTCTCGGCTCCAGCTGTGAGGCCGAGATCTACGCAGGGGCCATGGCTGCACAGGAGTTACGCTGACTCACCTACCTGGCACTTCAGCCTTGTGATCATCAGCGCTTTTGTACAATGTTAGGTCTTGTGCCTACTTGGCCTCACTTGCTTACTTCTTGACCTTGTTTGTACTGTGATCTATATATACCTGCACTTGCTTGTTTACCTTTATATATACTCCTGCATGTGAACTGGCCTTGTGGCCTTGAACCTGTGCTCGGAATGTGTGGTGACGTTGTGATCCCCCCTGAGCTTGCTTTGCTTTGCTTGACTGGTCTTGTGACCCCTAGTTCTCCCCCACTCTGCCTATGGGGGTGTGTCAGACTTACTTAGTCACTGTAGGCTACAGTGGGGTAGACACTAAGGGGTACAACTCTCTAGGGTTTCATATTTGTATCCATCTCCTTTCTAGTTCATTCATTCCTTGTTCTTTCACATTTACATACAGCCAGGGCATACATTGAGGCAAACCTACTAACATGCAATAGACACTGGCAGGACCCGGCGTAAGTCCAACCCATTATACACGTCCTACATTACTGCTACACGCATTCACAAAAAGGGTTAGCATTAACTGTTAAATTTTGAACAACGTACCTGTGATGCTCTCTTGTTAAAACGCCAGAAATCCTGTATGCCAGATAATAAATGGCACGCTGCGCAACCAACGAAGCCGCAATCGCAGTCGCCATAGGCGCTGCAAGTGGCATGTTTACGAAAGGCAGTAATTAGAATCACGACACACATGGCTGAAGGAGCCGACGAAGTGACGGGTGTAACAATCATATGCCTGCAGGGCCCAAAATTGGTTTAGGCCCACCTTGACAAATCAGGGTTCCAACCCCTCTTCACCCTGACCCATTGTGTAAAATTTTCCATACCCTATTTGCATCAGGGTAAATCAAGGATTTTGGCATGGTAGCCTGATTTGAGCAGGGTATTTCTACAGATAGCATGTTTCCAATACTACTTTCCCTCGAACCTCACATGGCCTTTTCAGGTCAGATTCTCCCACACTTCGAGAAGTGCATGGCTGGTACAGCTGCACTGCGACTGCAAGTTGATGCGTAGGACAGCAAGAAGCTGTCCTTGACATGTCAGAACTATATGGTAGGCTGTAGTGGGGTAGACAATATGGGGTACAACTCTTTTAGGTTTTCATACTTGTACCCACCTG